CCGGCACAAACAAAATGCATTATTATTGCTGCCCTTGCTGTCATGGTTGTTAGTGCAAATGGTCTGGCAGGACCGCCCCTCTGCCTCCCAGCCACGGCCAGGCGAGGCCAGTGGGAGTCACGAGTGACCTTCCTTCCCCCCCAGGTCCTTTGAGAAGGTATTTAATGCCAGTGGGCTGCAGAGCCTGGTGGCCCAGTACGGGGACTGGTTCTCCTATGATGGGAACCCCCGGGCCCAGATCTTCCGGCGGAACCAGTCGCTGGTGCACGATGTGGACTCCATGATGCAGCTTATGAGGTGCGTGGGGCACAGTGAGCCCGAGTCATGTGGCCACTCTGTGCTCTTCATTGTCACTCATCTAAACCTCACAACCCGCCCGGGGGCTGCGGGGTGAGAGTGAGAGTAAGAGCGGGCCCAGCAGGGCCATGGCATGCTCAGCATGAGTCCTGCTGCCAGCCTCTCATTGCAGGAGGGGACACTGAGCTGCTGCTGAGTGACCACCCTGTGCCGGGCGCTGTGCTTGGTACTGGGGACACAGGCCCAGAGCAGGTGCCCCACTGTCCGCAGTGCCACGCTGTCCCGTGGAGATCTAGAAACCCATCCAGCACTCACACTTAGGCGATGTGTCACTAGGACTGTCTCAGTCCCTGAAAACGCTGTAGAGGGACAGGAGGCACTCCTGGAGGACAGGATGCCTGGTGGAGGTTTGAATAATGAGGGTGGGCTGAGTGACCTGTAGCGGGAGGGATCGGGTACATGGAAAGCAGGTGCTAGGTTCCAGGGCTGCCGCCAGGAGGAGTTTGGTCCCCTCCTTGGACTCCCCTTCCCAGCACGACCTGTCCCTCCCTCCCCATGTCCAGGTATAATGACTTCCTGCACGACCCCCTGTCACTGTGCAAAGCCTGCAACCCCCATCCCAACGGCGAGAACGCAATCTCGGCGCGCTCCGACCTCAACCAGGCCAACGGCTCCTACCCTTTCCAGGCTCTGCAGCAGCGCCCCCACGGGGGCATCGATGCCAAGGTGCGGCCGCCCCAGGCCCACGGGCTGCGGGTGGGCGTGGTCACCATTGAGGCTGGGGAGAGGCTGGTAGTGTGTGGAGTCAGGGTTGGAACTGGGCTATGGTTAGGGTCCAGGTTGGGGTGGGCACCAGGACCCCCTGGGTTGGGCCAGCCTGCCTGACACTCAGCAATCTGCTCCACCCGGCCCCCAGGTGACCAGCATGGCCCTGGCCAAGGCCTTGTGCTTCATGGCAGCCAGCGGCCCCACGTGGGACCAGGTGCCCCCTTTCGAGTGGAACTCCTCGCCCTTCAGCGGCCTGCTGCACATGGGCCAGCCCAACCTCTGGAAGTTCTCGCCCATCAAGGTCTGGTGGGACTGAGGTGCCAGTCTGCCCGCTGCCTTCTGCCCCGCTGATAGCAGGGCCGCCCCACCGGCCACCACCGTGACCTCCTGCTCGTCCCATCTGTGGCCTTTGCCCCCTATTGTGCCCAGAGCTGGGACCTTGGTCTGCCAGGTTCACTCTCATCTGGGCATCTCCGCCTGGGTTGGGGCACAGAACCCAGTGGGGCCCAGCACTGATTCCCTCTCCCCCAAAGTGGGGAGAGCCCTTCCCGCCCCCTCTGCCTTTCTGCGTCTGTCTCCTCCTCCCTGTTTCTCTCCCTGCTGCCCTCCCCCCATCCTCGTGCTGCCCCTGCGGAGGGATCAGGTCCTGGGGCCCCCATGGGTTTCAGCCCTGAGACCTGGGTGTCGCCTGTGGTTGGCGCCGCTCCTCCAGCCCCAGGTCCTCTGCTCCTTTGGGAAGCAGCCCGTGTCCCCTCTGGACAGCTTCCTCAAGGACAGAAACTTAAAGACAGACACAAACCAAAGTTTCTGGAGACTTGTGGCTGGAGGGCCCGAAGTCCTCTCTCCAGGGGCGGGCAGAAGTGCCAGCCCCCAGGCTCCAGCCTCAGGCCCGTCCCCAAGCCTGGGCGTGCCCCTGGCCTCAGGGCAGTGCCCACAGCTCCCCTGCTGCAGTCACCAAATCGCAAGCTGTGACATTAAACAAGAGAGGCCGTGGCCCCTGTGCTGTGCTTTTTGGGGCAGTGGGGAAGGCTGAGTCTGCCTTGTCTCAGGATTGAGATCTGCACTGCCTTCCCATGCATCTTCCTGTCCACCCTGTCTGTCCATCTGTCCATTTATTTGCCAACCCACCCACCTCTTGTCCATCCGCGTATTTATCCATCTATCCACCCACCCAGCTACCCACACATCACCCATCCATCCACCTGCCTACCCATCTGCTTTCCAGTCGTCCGTTTATCCATCCAGCCAGCCATGTACTCATCCGTCCACACCCATCCGTCCGTCCATCCGCCCACCCATAGCCATCTGATGTTTACTGAGCACCTACTTTGTTCGGGGCCTGTTCTGGGACCCTGTTAACCACAAGACCGTCTCAAGTCTTACTGTGGGTTACAGATCAACACAAAGCAGGGTCCTGCCCCGTCTGTTCATACCCAGAACCTACACTGGAGACAAGACTCGCCCAATGCTTGTGTGCTTGGGGAGAGGAAAGCACACAGCCCCGGCTGGAGTCAGAGACCTGGGTTCAAACCCCGTCTCCACCTCTTGGCAGCCATGGGACCTAGCCTCTGCGAGCCTTGGCTACCTCGTCTGTAAAGCGGGGTGTTGACGTGAGCAGTACCTCCAGGCGTGGCGGTAAGGACTCGCTGCAGTGGTGGCTGCGCCAGCCTCGTAGGCCTCACGCTCAACATCCGCTCGCTAGCAGGTGTTTGGGAGCACTCAGCACCCGCCAGGTTCCCGCTGGTGCTGGGCTCAGACCATCCTGTGATAAAATCCGCCTCCACTGGAGGCAGCCCCTGTCCCGCCCCGAGCCCGCCTTGTTCGGTGCCGCTTCTCTCACCAGCTTCCCCCCTGCACGCAGGCCCAGCTGGGGTGGGGGTCTTGAGTTCCTTGTGGGACCCCAGGGTTCCTGGGGGTGGGGGTGCTCACTGCTGACAGCGGGGCTGGGAGCAGGCGCGGCGGGGTGGGTGGAGGGGAGGGAGACAGTGATGATGGGAAAGACGCAAAGGACCTTCGCTTCATAAATACCTATTTTTCTTTTTCATTGAAAATGTTTGCACATTAGAAAAATGAGTACTGGCGGGGGTGGGCTTCCTGGAGATGGTGCCCTCCCCTAGGGGGGGTCCTGTCCACCTTCCCAGGTGGGAGCCTCCCGAGGAGGAGCATCCTGCTGTGATCTCAGTCCCACACCCACCCTGCGCTGGGGACCAGATATGTTCCACGTGGGTAGTTGTCACCCCGGTAGGGGGGCTGAGGACGATCACAGAGCAGTCACACAGGTAGCAGGGGCTCAGTTCACGGCCTTGCTGGCCGCTGGCCCCTCTGCACCGTGGGCTCGTGGCCACAGCAGGTACCGACTGGCCCAGCCGCAGGCTCGCAACCGGGCACCAGAGTAAAAAGTACAAGGAGGCGCTGGATAAAACTCCAGCCCCTGCGGGGGTCCCCGGGTCGGGGAGGGAGGCGGGCGGGGCAGGACCCTCACTTGGGCAGCTTGCTCTTCATGCCCAGCTGGGTCTTGAGGTCCTGCAGCTGGGCCAGGCTGATGTTGCTGCCCCCGCAGACGATGACCACGAGCGAGGACAGGGGCACGCGGATCTTGCCCTCTCCTTGCAGCTTCTGGACCACGTTGCTGTAGACAGCGGCCAGGGCTGCCCCACAGGCCGGCTCCACCAGGATCTTCTCGTCATCTGCCGGTGGGGGGGGGCTGGTGAGGCGGGGCCCGAGTTCCACAGGGCGCAAGGGGACCCTTGGGCGAGTGGAACACTCCGGGCTAAGAAGCCAACCCGCTCCCAGCCCTGGCGCCCCGGCCGCAGACTTGGGCCCTTCCACCGTGACCCTAGATTGACCCCGCGAGCCCGGGCCAGGGCTGGGTTTCATCATCAGTGCTAACGCTGATAAGATCACGGAAATCGCCTGCGCAGTGTGTTGAGAAGGATCCTGAGGTGTCATCTGAGTAAGAGTGCCATGGTCCCTTAGCCAAACTGTTGGTGCAGGAGAAATAAGCGGCAGCCTACATGCTGCCGTGTGTGTGTATGTGTGTGTGTGCCACTGTCCTGGGCTGAACCCAGAAAGTGTCCACCCTAGTTATAGACCCACTTCTGAATCCATCACTGAGACCTATACTTTCCCTTTTTACCCTGGCTGCCAGGAAGCTCAGAATCAACGTTTTAAATACTCAGTTATTGTTCCCTGCTGTGATGGTTAGCAGGCTTGCTTCTTCACGTGTGCCTTTGGCCTTTCTGGGTTTTACCACTGCATTGTATTATCTCCAATGGAAAGTTCTAGGAAGGGATGGGAGACAGAACTGTGGGTAAACTTGCAGCGATGGGCTCCCCTGGCATACCAAGTGGCTGGGACAGCCACTCAGTTCCTGAACCAGCAGGTTGGGCCTTGAAAGGACTGGTCACATACCCACAAACTTCTCAATGGCGGCCACAGCCTCCTGGTCCGAGATAACTTCCGAGAAAATGGGGTGTTCCTGAAAGAGCTTCAGGGCCTGCGCCCCCACGGTCTTCACGCACAGGGCCTTGGCCACACTGGGCGGGGGGCGGGCATGGAGAATGGGAACGGGGGAAGCAGAGGTGGGAGAGAGGAGGGAGGGGGAGGTCAGGAGGGGGAAGGAGAGAGAGACAGAAAGTTGGGTGTGAGAGGGAGGAGGACCTGGGGTCCATGGGCATGGGGTCGGGGACTCTCCCTACAGCTGTAAAGTCTCGGAAAGTCCCAGGGGCATCCCAAGCAGAGCGGGGTCTTCTAATAAGACCCAGACTGCTCGAATGGGGGTTGACAGCACCGTTTTCTGTTTGACTTGACTGAAAGGCCCCCTTGTGGTCCCTGATAGGGCTCCCAGCCTTTGCTCCCAGTTGCCATGTTCACCTGCTTTTAACCCTCACTAAGCTTAGCACAGCTCTGCCCACCCAAGTCCCACCTTGCCTCCTCCAAGGAGTCCTCCAGGGGGAGCACTCAGCCCTGTGGCCCCACGTGGATTCTCAAAGGATCCTCCCCATCACACACACACACACTGACCACTTCCCGAGAAGGCGTTAGGTGCCAATCACAAGCATCAACAATTGTTGTCGTTCACTGGTTCAGTTTTATAGAAGGGGAAACTGAGGCAGGGAGTGTGCGGTCACTCGCTCAGGGAGCCATGGTGCTGGACTACAGACAGGTTCCATAGGCCTCAGGAACTGGACTCATATAATCAGTGTGGCCGTGCTCAGCCCAGCCTCCCCGGAGACATCACTGGGTCTATTCCCAGCTCTTTTCCCCACTCGCCCATGAGCATCTCCTTGCCTGGACCACCTCAGCCCTTAGCTCAGCACATGGCCCATAGTAGGTGCTCAACTACCACTTCTACGTTCCCGACGCTGGAGGATCAGAGGCCAACACGGTAGCTCCGGGGTGTGGGGCTCAGGAATCCAGGAGTTCTCACCTGGACTCAGTCTTCCCTATCTGTAGCAGAGACCTGTCTACCCATCTAGCCTAGCTGCACACAGGGATGCCTGGTAGGAAGACATTTCCCAGCCTCCCCTGCAGCAAGTGTGGCCATGTGACTAAGTTCTGGCCAATGAGAGGTAAGTGGAAATATTGGGTCTGTCTCTAAAGGCAGGGGGTCTAGCTCCTGCCCTGCTTCCTCCTTCCTGCCAGGTGGAGTGTGGATGTGATGGTTGGCACTTATGCAGCTCTTTTGTCTCATGAAGTTATATAGTAAAAATGATAGAGAACAAACTCAGGGAACCTGGGCCCCTGGCTTCATGGAGCTGCCCCCAGATTGCCTACCTCTAGACTTTTCTTTTTTTAATAAGAGAGGGAATAAAATTCAATCTTGTTTACATCGTTGTTATTTTGGATTCCTGTATAATGGCTGAGCCTAATCCTAATTAAACACCATGGCTCAGAGGTTTGGGGCTGGGATGGGAACTCCTGGGGAGAGGAGTTCACTTCTCTCTTCCCAGGATCAGCCGGTATCTTGCACATATTAGGGGCTCAGTAAATGTTTGGCCGGTTACTGAAGGAGCTCAAAACCCTACCACAGAGGAGCTCGAAACATGACGAGTGTCAGACTTTTTGCCCGAGGAAGTGTGAGGTTCGGGGTCGGAGCCACACAGTCTCGGACTCAGCCCCAGCAGTACTGCTCACCAGCTGTGTGGCCCTGGGCAAGTGAGCGAAGCCTGAGTTTCCTTATAAATGGGACACCCGGGCCTACCTGCAGCCGGCACCAAGGGGGGATCGCCCCAAGGCTTACTGAACCCCCCGATGAAGGCACCCCCGGCTGCTCACCTGGTAATCTGGGCCAGAGAGACGAGCTTGCCGGCAGAGGTGGCCTCGTGGAAGCTGTGGGCTCCCTTAGTCTCCATGGCGATGATGGGCACATCTCCCCAGCCCACCTCATGCAGCCCCTGGACCACTCCGCACAGGAGGCCGCCGCCGCCCACCGACAGCGCGATGGCCCCCGGCTTTGCGCTCAGCGTCTCCTTCAGCTCCTTCACGATGGAAGTGTGGCCTTCCCTGGGGGGCGGGGGAGGGCGGCAGGTCAGGGCCGCGCTTCCCCGGAGGCGCCAGGCAGGGCTCCCAGAGAGGCCACCTGCCCCTCCATCTGCTCTCACCCCCAGCACCGATGGGCCTCGGGGATAGTCTTCTCCCCAACTCCACCCTGATTCCCAGCTGCCAGCATCTGCAGCTCTGCCCGGAGTTCTCCTCCGGCTGCTGGAGCTGCAACAGCCCGAGAACACCCCTGACCCGGCGACCGTGCAAATGAGGAATCGCGGGCATTGGTGTGTAAACGCCCAGCATTCTCTCCTGCTGGGGGTAACTTGTTTGTGTTCCATGCTGGCTCCCAGGGGCCCCCAAGAAATTAAGCTCCAGCTGCCCACAGCAGGCCCCTGCCCACGAGAGCCCCGGCTAGTGGCTTCTTTCCTGCCCACTCCCCTGGCGACTCACCCCCCCACACGAACTGCCTTCCCTTAAATCCCAGTCCCGGGATAGCTCCCGGGGGCACCGAAGGCAGGCGCCTGTGTACCTGAGCTCGTGTTTGCCCAGTGCCGTGGAGGGGGCGCTGGAGCGCGAGCGTGTGCTTCTACGTGACGGTGCGTGCACACACGTGAGCTGCTGTGCCCACTAATGTGACGACGCGCCCTGTGGCAGGTGCCCACCCCGTGGTGCAGGAGGTGGATGCCACCCGCGCCAGCTGACCCTGGGCTCCACGTACCAGATGAGGGGGTCGTCAAAAGGAGGGATGTAGACCCAGCCTGGGTTGTTTTTGGCCAGGGCCTTGGCCAGCTCGAAGGCCTCGTCCAGCATCTGCAAGACCACAGGGGAGGCGGGAGGCGGTGAGCGGCCGGGGACCCTCCTCTGCCCCCGGCTGTCCTCCGCGGCCCCTGCCCCACGTCGCTCTCACCTCGCCCACCACCTTGACCGTGGCACCCTCACTCTTGAGCCGCTCGATGGTGAGGGCGGGCGTGGTGTTGGGCACAACGATGGTGGAGGGGATGCCCAGCCTCCTGGCAGCGTAGGCGGCTGCCATGCCTGCGTTGCCCGCTGCCAGGGGTGAGGGGTAGAGAGGATGTCAGCGCCGGAGGGCCCGGGAGCCCCACCTCCGGCCTCTGGACACCCCTGGTGACCTCAGGCCTCCCTCGGATTCCAAACCCGGCCCGCTGCAATGTCTGCAACAGCCCAGAGAGGTGGAGCTCCTGGCCCCAGGACACACAGCACAGGACAGGAGGAGGCACGCAGGCCGCTTACCTGAGGAGCAGACGAAATGTTTGCAGCCTCGCTCAGCCCACTGTGGAGACAGGAGGGAGGGAGTCAGGCTGTCCCTGGGCTCTTCCCTCCCACCTGCCCCCCCCCCCCC